AACTCCCATGTGTTCTTCCCCCCTCAGGAAACCAGGCTGAGCGAGAGCAAAGGAGACAAAACCGGAGAGGAAACGGGAAAGGAAACTCCCCCCAAAGACCCGGCCCGGAAACGAGACACCAAAGACCCCAAAAAGGAGGAAAATGTTCCAAAAACAGAGCCCAAAGGCAAAGCTGAGGCTGAGCCCAAGAGCAAAGAGAGCAAAGCCATGAATGATAAAGTGAAGGCCATGGAGAAAAAGCTGATGGGGAAGGACAAGAAGGAGGAAGAGAAGAGCTCAGCGCTGAGGAAGGAGGCAGGGAAGGGGAAAAGGGAGGAGGAGAAGGGCTCAGATGTGAAGAATAAGGACACAGGGAAGGAGAAAAAGGAGGAGGAGAAGGGCTCAGCAGCAAAGGAGACAGGGAAGGACAAGAAGGAGGAAGAAAAGGTTTCAGCATCCAAGAAGGACACGGGGAAGGACAAAAAGGAGGAGGAGAAGAGCTCAGAACCAAAGGGACAGGCGGAGAAAGACACGGGAGGGGAAGGTGAGAAAGACAAAGACAAAAAAGGAGAGAAGGGTTCAGCTGGGAAAACACCCCGGGGGGAGGAGAAGGAGAAGGAGAAGGAGAAGGAGAAGGAGAAGGAGAAGGAGAAGGAGAAGGAGAAGGAGAAGGAGAAGGAGAAGGAGAAGGAGAAGGAGAAGGAGAAGGAGAAGGAGAAGGAGAAGGAGAAGGAGAAGGAGAAGGAGAAGGCAGGACCCCCCAAGGCTGCAGAGCCGCCCAAGGACGACGAGGCCTCGAGCATCTTCGACGAGCTGATCGAGAGGGTGAAGAACAACGACGCCGAGGTGACCGAGGTGAACGTCAACAACTCAGACTGCATCAACAACGAGACCCTGGTGCGCTTCACCGAGGCCCTGGAGTTCAACACCGTGGTCAAGGTGTTCGCCCTGGCCAACACCCGCGCCGACGACCACGTGGCCTTCGCCATCTCCATCCTGCTCAAGTCCAACAAGGCGCTGACCAGCATCAACCTGGACTCCAACCACATCACGGGCAAGGGCATCCTGGCCATCTTCCGGGCGCTGCTGCAGAACGACACGCTGACCGAGCTGCGCTTCCACAACCAGCGCCACATCTGCGGCGGCAAGACCGAGATGGAGATCGCCAAGCTGCTCAAGGAGAACACCACCCTGCTCAAGCTGGGCTACCACTTCGAGCTGGCCGGGCCACGCATGACGGTCACCAACCTGCTGAGCCGCAACATGGACCGGCAGCGCCAGCGGCGCCTGCAGCAGCAGAAGCTGGCGCAGGAGGGAGGCGACAAGAAGGACCCTCCGCAGGCGCCCAAGGCGGGGGTGCCGCCCAAGGGGGCTCCCCCCAAGGCGTCCCCGAACCGGCCGCCGTCCAAGGCGCCCCCCAAAAGCTCCCCCGAGAAAGGGGGGGCCCCCGCGGCGCCGCCCCCGCCACCCCCGCCGCTGGCACCGCCCCTGGCCATCAACGAGAGCCTGAGGAACTCGCTGTCCCCCGCCTCCCAGAGGAAGCTGCCAGTGCAGGAGAAGAACTCACGGGACCAGCTGCTGGCGGCCATCCGCTCCAGCAGCCTCAAACAGCTCAAGAAGGCAAGTGGGGCACGGCAGGGCACAGCTTGGGGGGCTGGGGGGGGCTGGGTGTGGTCACTCGAGTGGAGCAGGGGGGAGGGGAGGGTTGTCCTCCACGGTGGGGTGGCTGTGGGCCCGACTGGACACGGACATGGGGATTCCACACCCTGGGCAGGGGGTCCATCCCTTTGACGAGGACATAGGGGGCTAAAGGGATCCTTTAGCATCCCTGGTGGGGCAGGTGGGATCAGCAGGTCCAGGTGGGATCATTAGATCCATCCCTTGTAGGGCAGTGGGATCAGTAGATCGAGGTGGGATCAGCAGATCCAGGTGGGATCAGCAGATCCATCCCTTGTAGGGCAGTGGGATCAGTAGATCCAGGTGGGATCAGCAGATCCATCCCTTGTGGGGCAGTGGGATGAGCAGATCCATATGGGATCAGCAGATCCATCCCTTGGCAGAGCTCCTGGCGTGGGCAGATCCAGGAGGATCCCAGGGCTGGGACAGCAGGAAGGATCCATCCCTCGCTCCTGCTGCCCCAGCTGAGCCACAGCTGGGGGTGGGAGGTGGCCCAGGGGGGTGGGAGAAGCTGCATCTCCCAGCCCTGGAACACCCCCCTCACTCCAGGAGTTGTGTCCCTGTCCTTGGGCTGGAGCGTGGGGACAACTGGCCTGGCCAAGGGAAAGGGGTCCCAGAATCCCAGGATGGTTTGGATGGGAAGGGACCTCACAGACCCTCCAGTTCCAATCCCAACACCTCCCACCATCCCAAACGGCTCCCACCTGGCCTTGGACACTCCCAGGGCTGGGGCAGCCACAGTTTCTCTGGGAATTCCAGCCCAGCCCCTCCCCATCCTCACAGCCAGGAATTCCTCCCCAATATCCCATCTGACCCTCCGGCACTGGGAAGCCATTCCCTGTGTCCTGTCCCTCCAGCCCTTGTCCCAAGTCCCTCTCCAGCCCTTTCAGGAACAGCTCCCTGTGCCAGCTGCTCCAAGGGCAAACCCCTCTGCTCCAGGTTTCTTGGAATCCTGGAATGGGTTGTGTGGGAAGGGACCTCAAAGCCCATCCCATCCCAACCCCAACCCCTCCCACTCTCCCAGCTCGCTCCAAGTTTATCCCAGGGATGGGGCATCCTTTGGAAAATCCATCCATCCATCCATCCATCCATCCATCCATCCATCCATCCATCCATCCATCCATCCATCCCAGGGAAGAATTTCCCTCCAACCCCGTCCCCCCCCCTCCTCACCCCGCCCTGGACATCCCCGGGGCACATTCCCAGCATTCATTCCCAGCGTTCCCAGCATTCCCAGTAACGGAGTGTCCTCCCCGCAGGTGGAGCTGCCGAAGCTGCTGCAATAGGGACTGGGGGGGGTGTCCCCCCACGGCCCCCCGTGGATCCTCCCCCTCGTCGCTGGCCCGGAGAGCCCCGGGGGTCCCGCGGGGACAGCGGGATGAGCGGGGACCCCCCGAGCGGGCGGGGCCGGGCCGGGCCCGGCGGGACTCGCCGCGGGACCGTCTATTTATTGTTGGGGACGCTCGGGAAGCCCCTCCGGCTCCTTCTGCTGCCCGGCAGCCCCCGGGGGTGCCACGGGCGGGGCTGACCCCGAGGGAACACCCCCCTGAGGTCGGGGGGGACCCCTCAGCCTTTTGGGGGCACAGGGGACACCCAGGGCGTTGTCACGGCCCGAGAGGACTCCAGGGGAGTTTTGGGGTCTGGGGGAATGGGGGAGGGGTGTCACAGGAGGGGACATTCGGGGGGGAGGGGGGTGGGACGGGAGGGGGAGGGGGGACAGGGATGGGAATGGGGGGTCGGGGCATCACTCGCAGCCCCAGCCCCACCTGGGGACCCCCGGAGACCCCCCCAGGAACCCAAAACACCCCCCGGGGGGAGCAGGGAACGCACTGGCTCCGGAGGGGCTGGAGAGTTTTGGGGTCACACAGTGCCCACCTCACCCCCCCATTGATCGTGATTTGTATCGATCTGTATTGATCTGTATGGATTTGTATGGATTTGTGTGGATTTGTGTGGATTTGTTCAGCTGCATCACAATAAATTCACCTGACGCTTCCCAAGCCTCCCACGGCCTCGAGACCCCCCTGGATTTGGGGCTCTGGGAATGGGATCAGCCCCCCCCAGCTGGGGCAGCTCTTCCCTCTCCCAGCAGCCACAGCCCCCCCTGGACTGGGCACCCTGGGATCATCCCAGCACCCCAAACTGGTCCCACTAGGATCATCCCAGCACCCCAAATTGGTCTCACTGGGGCCACCCAGACCCCCAAAACTGGGCACTCTAGGAGCATTAAAACCCCCCAACCTGAATCATCCACCCACTTGGAACTCCCCCCAAAATGGGGCACCCAGGACCCCCCAAAGTGGGCACAGACAACTGGGCACCCCAAAACCCTGCGGGCTGCCTCAGAGTCACCCCAAAACTCCAGTGCCACCCCAGAACTGGGCACCCCAGGTCACCCCAAACCCCGCGGTCACCCCAAAACCCTGGGGTCACCCCAAAACCCCAGGGTCACCTCCAGCCTCATGGAAGGGCCCCCGTTGGACCCTCCATGCCAGGACAGTTGGGAGTGTCACCTCAACACCCGAAAACACCGGGAGTGTCACCTGAACACACCGAGAGTGTCACCTGAACACACCGGGAGTGTCACCTGAACACACCGGGAGCGCCGTCAATGGACTGAGAGGTGGGGTCGGGGGGGGTCCCTGCCGGTGCATTGCACGGCGGGGCCGCCAGGGGGCGCTGTGACAGACTCACCGGGGCCGCCAGGGGGCGCTGTGACAGACTCACCGGGGCCGCCAGGGGGCGCTGTGACACACACCGGGGCCACCAGGGGGCGCTGTGACAGACTCACCGGCGCCGCCAGGGGGCGCTGTCCCGGCCCGCCCCGCTCCCCCCCGTGCCCCCGGCCCGGCCCCACTCTCGGGGCTGTCCCGGCTCCGTCCCGGGCCCGTCCCGGGTGTCCCCCCCCCTCCCCGCCCTCGGCCCCGGGGCCCCGGCGCGGGATGGGCGCGGGGAGGCGGCAGGAGGAGCAGCAGGAGCAGGAGGAGCAGGAGGAGGAGGAGGAGGAAGAGGAGGAGGCGGCGGGGGGACGATGGCGGCGGCGGGAGGCGGCGGAGCGGCAGCGGCGCGGCGGGGGCTGCTCAAGCGCAAACCCAACTTCACCCTGCAGGAGCTGGAGGTGCTGATGAGCGAGGTGCTCCGGTACGAGCCGCTGCTGTTCGGCGCCGCCGCCGGCACCGTCAACGCCTACGAGAAGCAGAAGATCTGGTGGCGGATCACGCACAAGGTGAACGCCGCCGGCCGCCACCAGCGCGACATCGGCGAGGTGAAGAACCGCTGGCGGGGGCTCCGGCGCCGCGCCGGGGACAAGATCAGCCGGCACCGGCTGGAGCGGCAGGGCCCGGCCGGCAGGGCCCCCGGCAGGAGCAGCAACGGGAGTAACGGGAGTAACGGGAGTAACGGGAGCGGCCCCGCAGAGCCCGGCCCCGCACCCGCCCCCACGCCCGCCTGGGACACGCGCGGGGCCGGCCACGAACCCTCCGCACGGACACAGCAGGGACCGGCACCCCACGGTGGGTGCGGGGCACGGGGGGACACGGCGGGACTGGGACCAGGGCGGGGGAAACGGGATGGGGACAGAGGGAACGGGATGAGAACGGGACTGGGAAAACGGGATGGGGACGGAAGGAAGGGGTGGGGGATGAGAGGACAGGGGAGAGACATGGAGGAACGGGATGGGAATGAGGGGGACGGGATGGGAATGAGGGGAAATGGATGGAGACGGGATTGGGACGGGGCAGGGACACGGGGGAATGGGATGGGAACAAGGGGAACAGGACTGGGACCAGGATGGGGGACACGGGATGGGATGG